GTTCACCACTTTCTCCTCAGATTTAAACACACTACCTGAGAGTGTGGTGGAGGTAAAGTCAATTGTGGATTTCCCAAGGGAATAATGAGGGTTTTATGATCAGTTGCTGGCTGACGATCCCCAATTTGTTACAATTCTGGATAAGATTGACCCCCCCATCCCCCAAATGGCTATGCTCCTGGGTCAGGAGTGATAAACTGCTGCCCCTCTTTACTTCATCCCTCCCTCAGTTGGCCTGTCAGGTTAAGTTGAAAAGGACCCATTCCCTTTTCCCAATCCAACCGTATATTTGCTTTAAAAGGAGCCAAAATTAACTAGGCCTTGGCTTTCTTGAGTTAACAAAAGGGTAGATTTATGGGGAAAAGATAATAAAATATGACACACATATACTCAGGTTAGAAAGGAGAACTGTATGTAAAAAAAATGGTTGAAAAAAACATCAGTTTGGGTTCCGTGACCAGTAAATGCTAGAACCTTGTGGCTGTTCCTTTGGATTATATTGGTCATGCTGACATTGGTAATGTAGCAGTTGGTTTTGAGATTCTTGGATCTGCAAATAAACCAACAGTGCTTTATCATTTTTCCTTTTCAACACTGACTTCAATGGTTTGCCTGACTTCCAGGACTCAACGTGAACGAAAAACTTTCTTTACCTGCAGAGTAAGAGTGTTTAATAGCTGTCCTTAAGCAGTAGCCTTCACCCTGGTCCACAATAGCACATCAGCTCACTAACACAGAGAGAGACCAGGAGGTAGCTGGCTTTTAATTCCTTCTTTGTATACTCCCCTAAGAGTAAAACATGTTGGTATCTGCAGTTTAGCACATAATCTGCGGGAGATGACTTTGTGCTGAGAGAAGAGTAGACAGCTCCTCATTACCGCTGTAACCACAGGAGCTCACAGTCCAGTTTATCCTGAATTGCAATTCTCCTTTTGAAGAACATTCTCCATTTTCTGAAGAAGGGTCCAGACCCGAAACGTCAGCTTTCCTGCTCCTCTGATGCTGCTTGGCCTGCTGTGGTCATCCAGCTCTACACCGTGTTATCTCAGATTCTCCAGCATCGGCAGTTCCTACTACCTCTCCTTTTGAAGTGTTGTTTTTGAAGTTTCCTTGGCATAGTTTTCAGGCATGACATTCAAAGGCTTCTCTCAGGGCTTTGCCAGACCATTACTGAATTTACATCCGCAGTCATCTACTGGCTATATGCCTTCTTTTTTTAAAAAAAGATGTTGCAATTAAAAGTTCAATTAGTTGTTAGTAAACCAAGGTTATGATCCATTGTCATGACATATCTGAGGAGCCAACATTTGCAGAGTAGGTGGGAAAAGATAGTGAAGAAAGAAGGGATCCATTCTTTTGCAGAGAGCTAGACACGATGAACTGAATAGCCTCCTTCTGCACTGTAGCAATTCTATGATCCATTGTTCCCAGTTCTGTGATATCTCTGCGTTCCTTCATTTCTAGCCTTTTGAGTATCCTTAATTTTAACTGTCCCACCACTGGTAGCCAGGTCTTCAGCTGTCTGCTTCCCAGATCCTGATGACCCTTTTGTAAAATTTTCCTCCCTCCTCTCCTTCTTTAAGACTCTCCTTAAACCTTTCCAACCAAGGTTTTGGTCATCTGACCAAATATCCTCCCCATGTGGCTCAGTACCAAATTTTGTGAGATAATTCTCTTGCAAGACATCTTGAAAAACTGTTGTGTGTCAAGGCTGCCATATAAAGTTAAGTTGTTGTTGTAAATTAGGAGTGGGTGTTTAGCTTGTTCCCAAAATTGACTAACATCCTGCTACCTCTTTCATCTTGCTCATGGCCAGAAGAGCTTCATGTTATAACAGATATTCATCCAATCAGTCTCAGTTAAATCTGATCAGTGCCTCATAGTGTTAACACATCCTCAATTCACCTGGAACACTGGCACTATCCCCCATCTCTTCCTCTGCTACACTGATGACTGTATCAGCGCTGCCTCATGTTCCCACGAGGAGCTTGACCAGTTCATCAACTTTACTAACACATTTCACCCCAACCTCAAATTCACCTGGACCATCTCCGATCCCTCTCTCTCCTTCCTGAACCTCTCTGTCTCCATCTCTGGTGACCACCTCGAAATTGACACCTATTTCAAGCCAACGACTCCCACAGCTCCCTGAACTACACCTCCTCTCACCCATCTTCCTGCAAGAATGTGATCCCCTACTCCCAATTCCTCCACCTCTGCCACGTCTGCTCCCAAGATGGGGCGTTCCACTCCCGCACATCCTAGATGTCCTCGTTTTTCAAGAGCCATAACTTCCCCCTTCCGATGATCGAAAATGCCCTCAACCACATCTCTTGCATTTCTCGCACTTCTGCCCTCACATCTCCTCTCCCCAACAAAAATAAAGACAGAATCCCCCTTGTCCTCACATATCACCCCACCAACCTCCGCATCCAACGTATCATTCTCCACTTCCATCGCCTACAATCCGACCCCACAACCAAATATATATTTCCCATCCCCCACCCCTATCTGCCTTTCGTAGGGACCACCCTCTCCGTGACTCCCTTGCCCGCTCCACACTCCCCGCTAACCCCACCAGCCCCGGTACCGTTCCCTGCAATCGCAGGAAGTGCTACACCTGCCCCTATACCTCCCCCCTCATCTCCATTCAAGGCACAAAACAAACCTTCCACATTAGACAGGGGTTCACCTGCACATCAGTCAACTTGGTCTACTGTATCCACTGCTCCCGATGTGGCCTCCTCTACATCAGTGAGACCAAACGTAGACTTGGGGACCTTTTTGTAGACCATCTGCACTCTGTATGCGACAAACGACAACATCTTCTAGTCGCCAACCATTTTAACTCCCCCTGCCAATCCATGGGTGACATGTCCATCCTGGGCCTCCCCCAAAGTCACAATGACACCACCTGCAAACTGGAGGAGCAGCACCTCATATTCCGCCTCAGAAGCCTACAGCCCGATGGCTAATCATGGAATTGACCAGTTTTAAAATCTCCCCATCCCCGGCCTCATCCCACATCCAACCCTCCCTCTCATCCCCACCTCCTTGACCTGACACAACCTGTCAATCTTCTCTCCCACCTATCCGCCCCTCTCACCTCACTGACCAATCCCCACCACTCCCTACCTGCACTCACCTATCACCTTCCCACCAACGTTGCCCAGCCCCACCCCTCCTCTCTCTATTTATTTCCCAGCTTCCTGCCCCCTCCCCATTTCTGAAGAAGGGTCCCGACCCGAAACGTCAGCTTTCCTGCTTCTCTGATGCTGCCTGGCCTGCTGTGTTCATCCAGCTCCACACTGTGTTATCTCTGACTCCAGCATCTGCAGTTCTTGCTCTCTCTTTTATCTTTCGCTGTCCCTTCTCTGTTGGAGAGAATTAGTGATGGAGGTGAAGTCATCAAGACTCTGCTAGTCATGGTTTTGAGCTCAAAGTACAATATTGTGTACATAGGCAGTTGTATCTGATTAACTCAGTTGTGATGTTGCCTCTGATGAGTCATTATGTTGTAGATTTCAATGCCATCTCAAATTGGGAGATCACAATTTCAGCAATAGTAGTTTAGCACTGCAAGTATACTACTGATAGAGGGAGAAACCAGCTAATAAGTTGTTGAATTAAGCTCTCAGTATCCCTGTCCCAACAGTCCAAATAGACTCTGTGATTATTCTGAGGTTAAGGACACAATTTGCATTTTTATGTAAGCTCTAAGAACTGCGATTTAAAATTCACCGAGAAGTGTTGAGTATTATGCTTGAAAGCCTAGCCAACGACAGGTAAACTGAATACACCATACTGTGGTGTGACCTTTTCTGGTATTAATATGCCACACTGACATTTGAACATTTTCGCCCTCCTCATTGTAAATGTCAATCATCTTTGCCCACAGATAGAAGATTTGTGTACACAGAAAGTTCTGGAACCTTAGCGAGGGGCTGGAAAGATAATGAAAGTCTACCACACTGTGTTGAGTTTCTTCCAAGTTACAGACTGTATTTTGAAATACGTGGCAAGGTGATGGCTAAACAAGCATTTTCACTTGGCTATCTGTGACAACATGTTAAATGAATCAAACTTTTAAGAGGTTTGAGAAATAGTCATATTTTTAAATATACATCATATTAAATTATCTTCAGAACTACTTGATATCTTTCAGTGTGTACCTGTGAGCTATTGCAACAAACGTTGGGGCTGCTGACTTTCACCCAGGTGATCTATCGAGGGAGGAATTAGGCCTGGTTGGAAGGATAGATCTTGAGATGGATGTGCAGGGGGATGCGGCAAGAGGAACTTGCTTTAGGAGGGAGTGCCAGATACTGCACTGAAGTGTCAGGATGAAGGGAGGAGAAGGAAGCAGGATGCGAGGGGAGATTGGAGGATAGAGGTGACCGTGTCGAGATGGCAGGTTGAGCTTTTAGACTGAGGCCCGAGGATGATGAGGACCAGGATGATGAAAACAACCACAGCAGGAGGCCGTTCAGCACCTTGAGCCTGTTCCACCATACACACCGTGGCTGTCCTATCTTGTAGCTCCAACTGCACATCCTTGCTCTGTAAACTGCGGCAGACTGAGTTCTGAAATTTCCAATTGAAACCCAACCTTAATGGGTATGGGGAGTGGGGAGGGGGGTTAGGGAAGGTCCTAGGGAAGTTCCATACTTAAGGTTCTGGCTCCCAGCAAAAATAATTTCTCACTGTCTGCCCGGCCAAATTCCTTAATGGTTTAAACACCTCAATGAGAGTATACCCTAATCACCGACACTCCAGGGAATACATGACTAGTCCTTGTAATTAATCCTTTTAGTCTTGGCATCACTTTGTGATTCTGTGCTACACTCCTCCAAAGATGTTACATCCCTCATGTGTATAGTGTCCAAGATCCAGTGTAGTAGCTACAGAGGATTCAAAACTAGAGAATCAACATTCTTTGGTGTAACAAGCTCCGTCTTGTAGATACAGCAAGAGCTGGTAACAGGAGGTGTGGGAGTTACCTGGACAGCATTCTCTCTGCGATTGCTTGGATTATCACCTGGGTTGTCCTTGGCAACAGCTGTTAGAGTGTAATGATCTTTTTTCTCTCGATCGAGTGCAGCCAGAATATAAATATCCCCCTTTACGTGAAAAAGGAGCACAAATAATTATTGTAGCAACTGCTACACATGTTCAATACTGTTCACATTCGCTAGTCTGCAGGTACAATGGGTAATCATAGAATCATATCATAGAATCCCTACAGTGTGGAAACAGGCCCTTCAGCCCAACAAGTCCACACCAACCCACAGAGCATCCCACCCAGACCCATTTCCCTATAAACCCACCTAAGCTACACACCCCTGAACACTGGGCAATTTAGATTGGCCAATTCACATACACATCTTTGGACTGTGGGAGGAAACCGGAGAAAACCCACACAGACACAGGGAGAATGTGCAAACTCCACACAGAAAGACACCTGATGGTGGAATCGAACCCAAGCCCCTGGTGCTGTGAGGCAGCAGTGCTAACCACTGAGCCACCATGCTGCCCTAGGGAGGTAAACAGCCCTTCCAGGCCCAAGGGGGCCGGTGCTGATTTCAGACTGGTTGCATTAACAACTGCTGAGGTATTCTGGGCAGGGATGTTGTGACTAATCTTCCCTCATGTGATATGGAGTAGCTAAATATCACTTATAGGTGCTCCAGCCAGGTTCGGTGATCCTCCCACGGTTGAATAGTTTGAAATTCCATGTCAGCTCACATGACTCCAGTAAGGAGTTAACAGTAGAAGGGTTGGGTAATAAGGAAGGCCAATGGAACTGTGGCATTTATTGCTAAAGGCATAGAGTATAAAAGTAGGGAAGTGTTGTTGCAATTGTACAAGGCATTACTGACATTGCATCTTTTTTTCCCTTTGTTCATTCATGAGATGAGGGGCAGTTAAGAGTCAACCACATTGTTGTGGGTCTGGACTCACATGTAGATCAAACTGGGCACGGATGGCAGTTTCCTTCCCTAAAGGACATCAGTGAACCAGATGGGTTTTTCCCCAACAATCAGCAATGGATTCATGGTCATCATTACTCTTAATTCCAGATTTTTACTGAACTCAAATTCCACCATCTGCCATGGCAGGATTCAAACCCAGGTCCCCACAACATTACCTGGGTCTCTGGGTTAACAGTTCAGCGATAATACAACTAGGCCATCACCCTGTGCAGTATTGTGTGCAATTTTGGTTCCGCTTACTTGAGGAAGGATGTAATTGCATTGGAGGCAGTTCAGAGGAAGTTCAGTAGATTTATTAGGGTTTGGCTTAGGAAGAGAGATTGAGCAGTCAGGGGAGTTTAGAAGACTGAGAGGAGATCTGATTGAGGTATGAGGGGATAAGGTTAAAGGGGATTGACAAAGTAGACGCAGAAAGGATGTTTCCTTATGTGGGGCAATCGAGAATGAGAGGTCATAGTTTTAGGATAAGGGTTGGCAGATTTAATACAGAGATGAGGTGAAATTACTTCTCTCAAAGGGTCATGAATCTGTGGAATTCACTATCCCAGAGTGCAGTGGATGCTAAGACAGATTTTTAATGATTAATGAGTTGAAGGATTATGGAGAGCGGACAGGAGAGTGGAGTTGAGGCCAAGCTGAGGTCAGGCATGACTGCATTAAATGGAGGAGCAGTTTCGAGGGGCTGAACTGCCTGTTCTTATCCATAAATCACTCAATGCCATTAACACAAGGGAAATGTAACACCTTCAAACATTATCATCACTAAAAGCTCAGGAATATGTAGCTGTAGGATTGAAAAGTTCTTCATTACATTGATAACATCTTCCAAACTATTTCAGTCATAAAGTAATTGGTAAAAGTAGCAGAGGTGTTAAGCTTTGTGCTGCAGTGAGTGGTTAGCGTGTGGAACACACTGTCTGCGAATGTGTGATGGAGGCAGGCTCAACTGAAGCATTCTCAAGAGAATTAGACTGTTATAAGAAAAGGAAGAATGTGTAGGGTTACAAGGAGAATGGCACTAGGTGAATTGCTCACTCAGATTGATGGTATAGGCAAGATGGGCCAAATGACCTCCTTTGCCACTTAATATCATCATCATCCTACGTGTGGAAACAGGCCCTTTGGCCCGACAAGTCCACACCACCCCTCAGAGCATCCTACCCAGACCCATCCCCCTAATCTACATGTCCCTGAACACTGTGGGCAATTTAGCATGGCCAGTCCACCTAGCCTGCACATCTTTGGACTGTGGAAGGAAACCGGAGCACCTGGAGGAAACCCACACAGACACAGGGAGAACATGCAAACTCCACATAGACAGTTGCCCAAGGGTGGATTCAAACCTGAGTTCCTGGCACTGTGAGGCAGCAGTGCTAACCACTGAGCCACCATGCAGCCCTTAATAATTCTACCATTCTGTAATTCTTCTCTAATTTAAATAGTGGGGCTCTGTTCATCTTTGAAGAAGTGGGCTTGAAACTGCTTCAGTTTTATCAAGAACCTGGGATTGTTCTCAATACAGCAGAGGAGGTTAAAAAGGAGATTTGATTGAGGTGATCAAAATTATCAAGTGTTTTGATCAAGGGAACAATGAGAAACTGTTTCCACTGGCAGGAAGTCAGAACCCAGGCGAGTAGTAAAAGACCCAGAGGTGAGATGGTGTGAAAGATTTTTAAAGTACAGGTTGATATGACCTGTTGCCTGAAAGGATGGTGAAATCTGGAGCAATAATAATTCTCAGAAGATTATAAATATTTGAAGCAGAAAAACATTGCAGGGTCACGGGACAAGGGGAATGGAACAAACTGGATAGGTTTACAGAGTAAGCATAGATATGATATGCTGTCAGTCTCTTGATGCTGCAATTCTGTACTGGCTTGGCAGGAATGAATTGTTAAGAGAAAAATGTGAAAAAGCCTCATTTAAAAAAGTACAGAGAAATTTGAAGAAATGTGCTTTTTGGACATGTACGATATGGCAAATCCATATTCACCATCTAATCCTAGCTGCTATGGGAAGGTGGCATTGACCTTCTGCCTTATAACTGCTTGACAGCCTAAAGATGTGCAGGTTGGGCTGCATTGGCCATCGTAAATACTGCTGCATAGTGCCCAGGGATGTGCAGGTTGGGGTGGATTGGCCATAGTAAA